TGATGTATGTTTTCTTGTTACTGTGTTGGTGGAAGGTGAGACAGCTGTAGACGTTTTCCTCCACGTCCTCTTCCATGTCCTCTACCATATCTCTCTACAGTTCTGACAGATGTGTCCTTACTGTTCGTACTTTGGTGCAGCAGCTGTTCAGGTGCAGTGATAGTCCCCTGATTATTAACTGCACCAAACTCCCCTCCTCTCTCACCCCCCTCTCCCCTCTTCTCTCCCTCTCTCTCTCTCTTTCCTTTCCTCTCATCTTTTTTTTTTATTTAACTATAATTATAAACATGAATTATATAGTTTGTTTACAAGACCACACTGGTAGTGAATCTCACAGCAGTTAGAATTCAGGTGTTTTTTGAGCCTCTCGGGGCCACCTCAGCCCTTCCTTCAACCTTGATCTTACCTTTACCTCACTACAATTTTGGGTATTATTTTCCCTGCTGTCCAGTCCCATGAAGGGAGGGATGTTGAAAAGTAAACTACCTCTATTAGTGTAATCATCATGCTCCAATTTTTATTGTAGGTAAACTGCATCTGCCACTCTTGCTTTCATTGGGAGTGATTTGTGTGCATGTTTGGGACCAGTCCCTCTAGGATTTTACGAGTGTAAATTATGATGTACATTTCTTGTCTGTGTTCAAGTAGTCGAGTTTGAGTTACTTCAGGTGTTAGCAGTAGTTTGGATGGTTGACTGGATGTATATGAGCAATGAAAGTTTCCTGTACTTTTTGTAGCTCTGCAGTCTTTCCTGCTTTGAAGGTGGCTGTCATTATACAGCAGTATTTCATCTTAGAGAGAACAAGTGACCTGAGGAGTATCATCATTGCCTCTGCATTTCTTGTTTTGAATATTCTAGTTATCCAGCCTATTGTTTTCCATGTGGTAGTAATTAGCAACAGTGTTGTCATCATTGAATGTGTGATCCTCTAACATTCTCTTTCCCACCCCCCACACATTAAACTTTAGCTGCATTGAATGATTAGAGTTAGACTTGTACTTCATTCCAGTCATTATTTTCTCCATTTTTCCATAGTTGAGCAACTGAAATTTGTCCTCATTGAACATATTGTAATCTGGATTATGTTTGCCTGAAGATGGATGCTATTCTTCAAGAAATTATGATATACAGTATTCAGCAAAGAATGAAACAGTGTTATGATATATTTCCTTATCTATCAGATACTATAAGAACGAGAAACAAGTAGGCCAGTACTGTGCTTTGAGGAACACAACTTTCCACTCTGGCAGCCTCCAACTTAATTAACTATGTTTATTACTATTATAGGCTCTGTTTGTTAAGAGGTTAAATATCTCTCTCTCCACTTACCAGTTATTCCTTTTGCATGCATTTTGTACTGTCACACCATGGTAGCACATGTCTAAAAGCTTTCACAAAATCATTGCACACTGCATCAGCACTGGGCTTATCTTTTAGCACATTGATCTAGCAGTTGTGAAAGACAGGAGCGATCTGCTTTATCCATGCTGCCCTGATTGGTCTGTTATTGTGATTCCATGTAATTGGCAGTCTTGCTCCTCAGGACCCATTCAAAGAGTTTAATAATGTGTTATTAATCTGTAGTTTTTCATGATTGCTTTGCTCTCACCTTAGGGAAGTACGGAAATATTAAGGGTTTTTAATGACTCTGGGATGACACCTGTGTCCATTCTCCTCCATAGAATACTAAAAGCACAAGATAATGGTTTCTTAGTTTGTAGGAATGTGGAATTCCACAAATCTGGACCTGGAGCAGCATGCATGGGCATCTTATTAATGACTTCTGCAAAGTCAGCTGGGAATAGGGCTACATCAGAAATTGTGATATCAGTGCATTTTGAGTTTTATTTATGAAAAATCATTTAGTAACAGTAATCGGCAGTAATAGCCTGGTTGATCAGACCCTGATCTACCACGACGTCTGGTCTCAGACCAGGCCGTGGGGGCCTTGACCCCCAAAACCCTCTCCAGGTATACTCCAGGTAATTCATCAGTGGTTTACTGAACAGTTGTATTGTGACTAACTATTTCACTCATTTCTTTGTCATCAGCGTATGTGGCGATTCACAAAAAAGGCTATGATGCTTGCATGAATATTTTATTTGTTATTTTGATGTAAATTTAATACAGTGGACCCTCGACCAATGATGGCATCGTATAACGTTAAATCCGACTAGCGATACACTTAAAGCAAAAATTTTGCCTCGACTAGCACTAAAAAACTTGACCAACGCGATTCGTTCCGTTCGAGACGCGTCCACTTGTGGCCTGAGCGCGTGGGTGCCAGTGTTTACAAGCCAGCCAGCCACCGTGGTCCCATTCAATCATACAATCGGAACATTTCATATTATCACAGCGTTTTTAGTGATTGCACCTGCAAAATAAGTCACCATGGGCCCCAAGAAAGCTTCTAGTGCCAACCCTACAGCAAAAAGGGTGAGAATTACTATGGATATGAAGAAAGAGATCATTGCTAAGTATGAAAGTGGAGTGCGTGTCTCCGAGCTGGCCAGGTTGTACACAAAACCCCAATCAACCATCGCTACTATTGTGGCCAAGAAAACGGCAATCAAGGAAGCTGTTCTTGCCAAAGGTGCAACTATGTTTTTGAAACTGAGATCGCAAGTGATAGAAGATGTTGAGAGACTGTTATTGGTGTGGATAAACAAAAAACAGATAGCAGGAGATAGCATCTCTCAAGCAATCATATGTGAAAAGGCTAGGAAGTTGCATGACGATTTAATTAGAAAAATGCCTGCAACTAGTGGTGATGTGAATGAATTTAAGGCCAGCAAAGATTGGTTTGAGAGATTTAAGAATCGTAGTGGCATACATAGTGTGATAAGGCATGGTGAGGCTGCCAGTTCGGACCAAAAAGCAGCTGAAAAATATGTGCAGGAATTCAAGGAGTACATAGACAGTGAAGAATTGAAACCTGAACAAGTGTTTAATTGTGACGAAACAGGCCTGTTTTGGAAGAAAATGCCAAGCAGGACCTACATTACTCAGTAGGAAAAGGCACTCCCAGGACATAAGCCTATGAAAGACAGGCTTACTCTGTTGATGTGTGCTAATGCTAGTGGTGATTGCAAAGTGAAGCTTTTATTGGTGTATCACTCTGAAGCTCCCAGAATGTTCAGGAAAAACAATGTCCTCAAGGCTAATTTGTGTGTGATGTGGAGGGCAAACAGTAAGGCATGGGTCACTAGAGACCTTTTCTATGACTGGTTACACCATGCATTTGCCCCCGCTGTGAAAAATTACCTCCTGGAAAATAAATTGGACCTTAAGTGCCTCCTGGTATTAGACAATGCTCCTGGTCATCCTTCAGACGTGGCAGAGTGACTTTCTGGGGACATGAGCTTCATTAAGGTCAAGTTTTTGCCTCCTAATATAACTCCTCTCCTGCAGCCCATGGACCAGCAGGTCATTGCAAACTTCAAAAAACTCTACACAAAAGCTGTTTGAAAGGTGCTTTGTAGTGACCTCAGAAACTCAATTGACTCTAAGAGAGTTTTGGAGAGATCACTTTAGCATCCTCAATTGTGTAAACATTATAGGTAAGGCTTGGGAGGAAGTGACTAAGAGGACCTTGAACTCTGCTTGGAAGAAACTGTGGCCGGAATGTGTAGACAAAAGGGATTTTGAAGGATTTAAGGCTAACCCTGAGAAGCCTATGCCAGTTGTGGAATCAATCGTGGCATTGGGGAAGTCCTTGGGGTTGGAGGTTAGTGGGGAGGATGTGGAAGAGTTGGTGGAGGAGGACAATGAAGAACTAACCACTGATGAGCTGCAAGATCATCTTCAACAGCAAGAGGCCAGACCTGAGGAAACTGCTCCAGAGGAGGGGATAGAGAAATTGAAGAAGTTGTCTACTTCAAAGATTAAGGAAATGTGTGCAATGTGGCTTAAAGTGCAAACCTTTTTTGATGAAAATCACCCTCACACAGCTATTGCAAGCCGTGCTGGTGACTATTACACTGACAATGTTGTGAAACACTTCAGGAATGTCATAAAGGAGCGGGAGGTACAGGCCTCTGTGGACAGATATGTTGTGCGACAGAGGTCCAGTGACTCTCAAGCTGGTCCTACTGGCATTAAAAGAAGAAGGGAAGTAACCCCGGAAAAAGACTTGACACCTCAAGTCCTAATGGAAGAGGATTCCCCTTCTAAACACTAACACCATCCACTCTCCCCCCTCCCATCCCATCATCACCAGATCTTCAATAAAGGTAAGTGTCATGTAATTGTACATGTCTTCTTAAGTTTGTGTGTATTTAAATTAATATTTCATGTGGTAAAAAATTTTTTTTTCAGTACTTTGAGGTGTCAGGAACGGATTAATTTGATTTCCATTATTTCTTATGGGGAAAATTAACTCGACTAACGATAATTTCGACTAATGATGAGCTCTCAGGAACGGATTAATATCGTTGGTCGAGGGTCCACTGTATTTAGTGTTACTGGTAGTGAATTACATGATAGAATTTATAAGCTCTGAGAGACACTTAGGGTGGCTGCAACCCTTCAACTCGACAATAACAACACACCAAGCTGACACTGATGTTTGCCTAAATGATTTTTTCGTTGTTTATTGGACTTTGTAAAAATAAATTTGAACATTTGTCATTATTATACATTTTTCATTTTCTGGGGGGGGGGGGTTATCCTGTACATAATTATATTATGGGGGGGGGGGGCTTACTGAGCTTATTTTTTTATTAAAACCATCTTATGGCCAAAATATACTGTAAATTTAACATAATTGTCTGAAGATTAAATTATTAAATGTAATGATTATTTTAAGTAATAAAGCTTTTAGCTTTCGTGGTCTCACATGCCACTAATAGAATACATAGAATATTGTCAAACATTTTCTGTAGAGATGTTAAGTGTGAAGTCAACACCTAGATTTTTTTTAACCTGGTTGGATGTGCTTTCCTGTATATTGTGCTTCAGTGGTTTATGTGAGTGTGTTAAGCATATATTGTTGTTTCAGGGAACTGGTGAAGCTGAGCGAGGAGTCGCTCATGCGACAGCCTGAAGAAGTCTTCGATATTATCTGTAAATTGGGTGAAGGGTAAGTAATGGTATCCCTCAAATGTCGTACTTGCAGTGTGGCTGTATTTCTGTGTGCATTATGTATTTGTTTGGGTAACATAAGTTATACAATACTGACAAATGTGAAATAAGCCATACGCACGGATATTAAATTGTTTTACTGAGGAATGTTGTGCCATGAATGACTTCACTCCTCACTTCTTCAGGATTGAAGCGACCATTTGTAGCAAAACGTTTCCTTCGTAAATTATCCTAATACTGTGCATGTCTTATTTCACACACGTATCTAGGTGGCTAGTTTTTTGTACCTAAGTGCTAACCCTATAGAAATTCTTTCAACATTGTTTTTGGGTCCATAGTTACATTATCTGTGCATTTTAAGTATGCACGCTTAGTAAGTTTATATAGATTGGATTATCGAACATGTAGGTACAATATACAAGCCATAAAACACTTGCCTTGGCTAACCTACCAATTTTGCTATTGCTGATTATCTTCTGCTCACTCAGGTAGCAGAGCACAGGAGAATTTTCTGGGTCTGTGAAGAGATGATCTTGTTAATGTGTTCACTATAACTCAACTCATGAAATTGTAGTGACACAATTGCAAACAAACCATACCACGGGCAGGGGATAGAACCCCCAATCAGAGAGTCTCAAAACTCCAGACCATCGTGTTAGCCACTGGGCCAGCTAGCTGCAATAAGATTCATCCAACTAGGTATATTCCTACACCATAGGAAGGTTAGCAAAGGCACCACTGTGACCACAAATGCATTTGCATTTGTGGTCACAGCTTTGATTTATATTTATTCATATATTGTACAGTACTGTACTATATATTCAACTCCAGTTCTTGTCTCTGGACCCAAATGCTCAGGTCTTCTTTCTACAATTCACTATGATGTCTTTGATACAACCTCTGGATTGAGGCACTAAGACAGTTAACTATCACAGTATCACAATTTACACAAGGTCATGGAAAAACTCATCGCAAGAATAGATGACAGCTCAAAGACAAGTACCAGAATTTTGGAACACTTATCATTGCAGACTTACTAACGAATATAGAAGTGTCATTGGATGAAGTGCACAATCGACAATTTTTAACAAGTTTAGGTTAACTCCTTGACTGTTGCAACCCCAAATCCTGAGGTGTCTCCTGGTGATGCAAAATTTCCAAAAATAAAAAAAAAATAAAAATTTTTTCTTATGAAATGTTAGAGAATCTTTTCCCGATTGTAGTGACACCAAAAGAACGAAATTTGATGGAAAACTGACGGAATTACGCTCTCGCCGATTCATAAATATCGCTCTCGCGATATTTATGAATTGGCGATTTCGCCCACTTTGAGCCCTATTTTCGGCTAATTCCATTGTTCCAGTCGACCAAACTCATAGCTATTTCCTTAGAACTCCATTTTTTCTATCAACTGGGTACAAGAAACTGCCTATTTACCGATTTCAACTACCCAATAATGTGGTCAGAAATTTGCAATCTGGCCAATTTCACAAAAATTAAAAAATATAAAAAATTCAAAATAGGATTCAGAATGAACAATGCAGACATTCCTTCCTCTAAATTAAGAAATGAAATTTAGTAACAATTAAAAATCATATATAAAAAATTTAATAACTTTTGAAAAATATTGGGAGCAAATCTTGATGTAATTCTTAGTTTCATTACAAGTTTTATTAATAAATGGAAATTAAAATACTGTACAGTGGCCTATTCTTATATTTTCTGACTTGCCTTGATAATTTTCCTGAGCAGGGCGAGACATCATCTAAAGTTTCTTCTCCAAACTGTGGAATTATTTTGAATTGTTCCAGCCACAGTATTGTGAATTTTATTCTACTTCACTAATTGTGTAATATAAATCAGTATAATTTTTGTACATGAATATTATGTAATACTGACAAGATGAAAAATAGACACTTGCAACATCTGGGTATCTTTATTGTAGACGTTTTGCCATCCAGTGGCTTTATAAATACAAATTCAAGGACATACAGTAATTGGAAGATGGTAGAACTATATACAAAAATGAAGTAATCAGCCCCTCAGCCTTGGAGTTAGTGTGAAGAGCACCATAGTCATGCTCATCACCAACTCCAAGGCTGAGGGACTGATTACCCCATCTTTTGTATATAGTTCTACTGTCTTCCAATTATGTCCTTGAATTAGTATTTATAAAGCCATTGGATGGTAAAATGTCTACAATAAAGATACCCAGATGTTGTACATGTATAATTTTCAGTATAATTTTTGTTGCAGATCCTATGGGAGTGTGTACAAGGCATTACACAAAGAGTCAGGTCAGGTGCTGGCCATCAAACAAGTACCCATTGACACAGATCTACAGGAGATAATTAAGGAAATCTCCATTATGCAACAGTGCGACTCCCATCATGTTGTCAAATACTACGGTTCCTACTTCAAAGATTCTGACCTATGGGTAAGTTTCTCACTTCAGTATTCTGAGCTATGATTTTGACATGTGGGTCCCATAAGTTTCTCACTTCTAATATTCTGAGCTATGATTCTGATGTATGGGTACCATAACTTTCTCACTTCTAATATTCTGAGGAAAGGAGTAGCTGTGAATCGACCCCTGCAACCACATATAGGTGAGAGCGCACACCCAAACCCCCCCACCCCACCATATCTCTTTCTCTCACTCTTTAACTGTGAACTCTCATCCTTGGGGAAGGGGGGAACTCTTGTGTTTTCGGATGAAAGAGGACTGAGAAAGATTTCCTCTGGTAAGAACAGAAATACAGTAAAGCACTCAAGTTCAGTTTGATGGAAGCCTGAAAGTGTTCTCATTTGAGTGAAAATCTAAAGGAAAATTTCAGGGAATATTTTCCATGGCAAATGAAGTAAAACCATATTAATGTGTGGACATCAAAGTGAACTGTGTTTATTGTTTCTCCCAAGTATCATTGTACTTTTGTTACTCAGTTGTAATGAGGTCAGTGTAAATTAAAGAAATCAATACAAAAACCCAAAAACTGGTGAAAAGTAATAGATTTTGACATGATTAAAGAAGAACTGCTACTCTGACTCCACTTTTATCACCTCACAACAATGCAGAATTTTCTTTTTTCAACACACTGGCCATCTCTCACTGAGGCAGGTTGACCCAGCAAAAGAAACATTTTCACCATCATTCACACTATCACCATCTTGCCAGAGGTGTGCAGACATGACAGTTCACATGTCCCTCCAAACAACAAATCTCTCTAACCCCTTCTTTAGAGTTCAGGTACTATACTTCCCACCTCCAGAACTCCAGGCCGGCTAACCGGTTTTCCTGAATCCCTTCACAAAATGTTAACCTTGCTCACACTCCAACAGCCTGGTAGGCTCTCCATACAGTGGACCAACTGTTTCATCAGGCATTTTGGTACAATGCATCAAGGTTTCACTGCTATGCTACTTACTAAATTACTAGGGGTTCCAATTTTTTAAATTAATACAGAAACAACATTGAAGATTTCAGCAATGATTTTATAATTTTCAGATTGTTATGGAGTACTGTGGTGCTGGTTCAGTATCTGACATCATGAGGTTACGGAAGAAAACACTCACCGAAGAAGAAATAGCAACAGTTATATACGATACTTTACGAGGGTTAGAGTATCTCCACCTCAGAAGAAAAATTCACCGGGATATCAAAGCCGGAAATATCTTGCTTAACACTCAAGGTCATGCTAAACTAGCAGACTTTGGTGTGGCAGGTCAACTGTCTGTAAGTATTTGTTTTTGTGTGTTAAAAAAATACAAAAAAAAAGGGAAAATAGAAATAAACACCTGATTGCTTTCATGTGCTTACACATCTGAAGATGAAAGTGCTCAGGTGTTTTTTTTTCTATTTTCACTGTGGTAAAATGCATGTATTTGCAATCATTCATTTTATTTTGATTCCTCTCTTACAGTATATGTATGACCTTATAGATACTGAGTCCTGCCAAAAGAATATGAACACCCTTGATTCTGAATAAACATTTTAGTTGAGCTGTAGTCATGAGTTATTAATTTAATAGGTCCTAAAAGGGGTTGTAAATGACAAGTCTTGTCAAGCATGTTGATAATTTTGGCAAGTGTTGGGTAGTGTCATGATAGTGTTGGCACGGCTGTGGAATGTTTCACTGAAGAAATGGCCAAGGTCACTCACCTGTGCTGTATGTCATTCTCAAGAATTTGGCTCTTTAATTGTTTATGCATTTCTGTATCATGATTTTCTAGCTCAAATTTCACTTTTGTGACTGAGAGCCAGTGTGCATTGAACATGAGATCCCAAGAGGAGGTAAATCAGATTACAAATGGGAGTTTGCAAAATTCCTGTTGCAGATAAAACAGTTCTATCAAGAGTTTGTGAAGAGAAACTACAGGAATTGGTAGGCAAGTTTAGGAGGATTTTTAAAAGAAAGGATCTTGAAATTAAATGTAGACAGAGCAAGGTGATGAGATTAAGTCAAAGTGTTGTATAGGGATTGGTGCCTTACCTGAAAATCACCAGACCATACCCACCAAATTATACATCTCCATTTGACATTAAGAATACATTCATTGTA